GTATGCAGGGTGGAGGGGATCAGTGGGGGGGAAAAAGGGGACATCTGTAATACTTTCAACAATAAAGATAAATTTTAAAAAATCACAGTTATAAATTAATTAATTGCACATTTTAAATGGAACTCAAAGGCTGTCTGACATCTACTGAGCCCCTCCGCCTTTTTCTCTCACTCTTACTACTATTACCTCTCCCCTCAGGGCTGGTAATTTGGGAGCATCCCCTATCCTTCTAGCTTCTTATGCTACCATCCTGAGAAATTCTCTTTTATTCCTTGATCTGAAGATCCTGTTCCACTCCTGTGACAAAGACACAGTTATTTGAGTTGGCCTAGGGCAACTACTTCTGTTTCTGGGTTTCCTAGAGTATGGTTGAATCTTTCTTTAGTTTTTCTTATAACCAATACCTAACAAAACTAGAGAAGTTCCAATTCTTTTTTTACTGCCAGTAAATAACGATAATAGTAATATTGATTTTTAAAAGACACTATGATGCTTATATTACTGATAAATACACTTGAAAATTTCAAACAGGATATTTGCTTGCTTTGTCTATAGGAAGTTAGAATAGAAAGGGTGATATTTCATTCACTCACTTATTTACTTATTTTACCAAAGGCCAGGGAAGGAGAGGAAAAAAATGTAGAAAATAACTGAGCAATGGGAAAAGAAGCAGTTAACTAATCCCTTGAAACCTGGGGGAAAAGTAAGGGCTGGCCTCACACCACCTGATATGCTTAATTCTCCTTGTTTGTTAGGTGGGCCAATATCCTTTGGAATGTAGGTTCTAGATGTAAATATATTTCAAAGTCCATGCTATGCTACCTATGATTATTTGGTTGTGCTGTCTGGGTGTGAGGTTGAAAATAATTCTAAAACACGTTCAGTCTCCTCAGGAAAGAGTATCATATTGGTAAGCAATGCCCGTTACTCCCATTGAAAGGGAGGCACACATGCCTTGTTTGCTATTCTCTGCAGGCTTTGGAGGGCAATCTAGAAATGTTCCAGTACAGGGGCAATGTGAGGATATGTTGACGCACACACTATGGTGATATCACATCAGGGATTTCTGGGAATAGCAAAGTCTAACCTTGAAGTGATCATTCATGGTCAATCAAGGTGGCCTGACAGAAGTAATGGAGATACAGCAACAGGGCCTAATGTTACCAGGCCAGATTCTAGTTCATAGGATAGTAGTGAGAAGAAAGTAAGGCTAGGTGCCAAGAAAAGGGCTTAGGAAACAAGATAAAAGCCCAGTATTGGGTCTGGGAGATAAGGTGAGGGCTTGGTTTTGAAAGAAAAGGCAACAGTCTAAGAACTGTGATGGAAGATCAGAGATGAACAATAATAGTAAGTTTGACTTAATGCTGTACTGATGAGCTACTGGCTATATACAGGGTGGGGCATAAGTAGGTGCACAGTTGTGGGCTTGTGAGACAGAGTTTATTCTTGTATTATTAATTATGGCATTATTTTCCATAGGAACAACTGTAAACTGACTTTTGCCTAACCTTGTAAATCCCCCTATCATAGCCTAGGACCGGAATGGGCAGTAGGTGGGAGTCAGTGTCAGACATGTAGCTTGGAATATTATATGGACAGGAAATCCAACGGTCCTTTGCATGCTCACCCATTTGCCTTCTCTCTCACACCACCATCTCTTTCATTATACTCAAGGCTGAGGAAACAACCATAGGAAATTTAGAGCTATGGAAAATCTAAATTAAAAGTGGCATGTTAGTTGGAACACTGTGGTACATAGTTGTTAGTTTATAGTAGTGTGGCATAGGTAACCATGGATTAAAAATAATTTCTGTGGACTCATTGAGTTAATTCCAGATATATTTGTGTCAGTGAGAAACTGTTTTCATGTTCTAAATCCATGGTGTACATTTAATCTATTTATAGATTAAAAATGCCTCTATTATTCGCCAGAGTGTTGTTTTGACAAAATACATATAGAATAGATGAGTGGGTATAATTTTTAAATGGAAGGAAGAACCAAGCTGGGTAATACTAAGTTTATTCAATAATTTGTGTTAGAAAGTAAAATAAGCCTCATTAATCCACCTCCACTAATTTGAATTTGTGATTGCCAACTTGGAGCAGATTCAAGTACTTTATTGTTTTATCTATTTAAGGAAATTTGATAAGATTTATGAGGTATACTAAATCCCTTTTTAAAAGCAAATTATCTTAAGTCTTGTCCTGCAAGATGTATATAAATGAATACTACTAATTACAAATGAGTTTTACTTATTAAAGGAGATTCAACAAAGATATACTTGATCATCTCATGTACTTGAAATTTATTGTATTTCACAGATTCAGATTGAACTTCCTTAATTGGTTGTAATTAGTGTAATTAGTGTGTGTGTGTGTGTGTGTATGTGTGTGTGTGTGTACATATGTCAAAAGGTATTTGGGAATCAGAAAGCTTTGACTTTGTCATTAATACCCCCTCCCTCTCTCCCCCATCCAGGTTTTTACCAAGCCTCGCAAGGTCAGCATTAGAAAAAAATCTGGCAGATGCTTCAATAGAAATAAGTACTAATGCTAATCTAGAACCAGAACTGGAGGATTACAAATGTAAGTCTTTGATTTATTTCTCTTTTAAGTGAAATAATAATTATGAAATATTTTCTATTAACTTTCAAATCAAAATGGTTTTGTTTTCCATTTATTTTGTTTTTATTTGGGGCTGAAGAAATGAATCTTTTATTTTTATTTTTTTTAAAAAAGGTTGAAACCCACTTAAAAGTTAAACCTCAGAATAGTTCCTTTATTTCCATACCAGATGCAGGTCCTCCCCCAGTGCCCACTCCCACTCCCCCAAGAGTCACAGTTGATAGAAACATGTTAAAGGCTCTCACAATTTCTGGTGTAAATAAACTAGTGCTATTTTGTTTAAGATTTTTCCCAACTCTGTTTCACCATAGAATCTAAAATTCTGTTTTCCTTGCACAACATTTACATTTTGAGGACCAGCAATGTCTTATGGGATGTGTTGGAAAGCTATATCAAGTATTGAGATAGATGAAAATAATATTGAGAGTGCCATGCCATGCCTGCTTGCCCTTCCATTCCCAAGGTGCTTTTCTCCTGGAGAGTTGAAGTACAACTTTGATTTGGGGGTTAGCTGTTCCTATAAACGTTCCTCATTCTTCAACTAGAGCACAGTGAAAGGTTCACAGTTTTTTGAGCTATAATGACCTGTTTTATCAAAACAACCAATGTGTGACTGTTCTCCAAAGGGGACTATTGTGGGTGGGTTTTTTTTATAGTAGATGTTTTTAATTGTTGGGGATACACTGAGATAAGAATTTTATATTAAGAAAATAAGATACCTTTTTTAAAAGTAAAATTATAAACTCTGCATACTAGTGGATCTGGGTGTAGATACACAGCCAATTCAGAGACAGAATAACTTTGGTACTTTTTAGACTCAAATTGTTACGTGATTGAATTTTTTAACATATCCAAAGAAAGCCTGCATCACTCATACTATAGATTTTTCAGTCTTGGTAACAGGCAGTTTTCGCAGTCCCCATCCAAGCCTTGTGCAGGGGATAAGGCAGCTAAGCCAAGAGGCTTCTGATGCCTCCGATTCCATTCATCTTTAATGTCATCTCTTCTGGAAAATTCATTTAATTCACTTTCTTTGTTTAGGGGCCATGCTCACCAAGCAATATTCTGATAAGGACTTGGTTTTTTCCATGCAGGTCTTCCTCTGGATAGTATGCTGATAGGACAACCAGTGTATTATATGGTCCAAATGAAAGTTGCAGTTTTCATTGCAATGGAATACTTTGCAATTCTGGTTTTATATATCAAAATTTATATATAGATCAGAAACTATGTCTTTAATAATCTCCTGAGAGTTAGATTTGTCTTCTGTTGTGATGACAAAATCAGGTTTTGAGCCTACCAGGCTGAGGACTTGACAAATTTACCAAAATAATGCCATCCTCTGAGATTTCTTAGATTGTTAGCCAGCTTTCTCCCAGGAAACTCTAGTGTCAACATTCTCTCTGTGCATTTCCCTTTTCTAGCTTGCAATTTTAACAGTGTTGGTTGTTTGAATTAAATTGTCCTAGTGCCCTAACTGTACTAAATAGATATATCCGTACACTAAACCATAGATTATATCAGATGCTATTTGAATCTGACATTATGTGTGTCATCTCAACATATAAGTATACAGTAAATTGATGCCACAATCCTGATCTTCCCTGTTACAGTTTTATATTGAGTCTATTTCAGAGACCTGCTGGTGGTAAATAAATAACAAATCCTCAGCATGACAGCTATGGTTCTTTTTCCCTATAGAACTTGTAGATAAAAGGAAAATGGCGAGGATCTACTGAAAGATGAGGTCTATTGTGCTTTGGCAAGTGTGTAGCACTCAGTAATGCTTAAACAGGGTGACAGTTTATTTTTAGTTTGAAATTGTTCACAGTGCTTCATAGACACAAATGTTGCTTTTCTGTCTTGTCTTTTAAAATGGTTTAGAAATTTTCTTATTTAAAATAGGGAGGGGAAAGATGGGTCAGTTGTTTAAGGCACTGTAATTGTCTGACTGCTTGCTAGGGTATTCCATAGGATGGAATATTATTTGGAGTCAAAGGACTAAATATACCCCACATGACAGTAAGAGCATCAGTTCTATTTTTAGCTCTACCCAAAGTAGCTGGGAGATTTTAAGCAAATTACTTAATTTATATTTTTCTTAGCTTCCTCATCATTCTTGTCTCATTATTGGGGAAATGAAATGAAATTGAGAAAACAATGAGCTGAAGCTCCTAGTTTGGGATCTGGCACATAGAAGGTCCTCAATAAATGATAACTTCTATTAGTGTGATCATCAGAACTACTGCAACTATTACTATTAGTGTTATTATTATTGACCTTGGCATATTTCAGACAATGAACATGTATATCTGGTTACTGTGGGGAATACACATGGAAGATGTTCCCTGACTTCAAGAAATTTATTATTTAGTTTCCTGGCTTCAAGGAACTCAGATTCTGTTCTAGACCAACTATAAGAGATGTTACAGTAATAATTATCACAAAGTAATTGTGTAGCACCTGGGGTGCTTATTTGAAAATACAGACCTCCTGGACCATCCCTGAAAATAGTAATTTGAGAGGTCTGGCATGGGTTGGTTCATTTGTATTTTTGACTATCTAGGGGATTCTTGTGGGGTTTTTGAATGAGTGTGTCCTGAAAAAACGATATTCAAGGTACTTCAGAGCTTTTGAATATGTTATTTGGCTTATATATGTGTGATAGATAGTCTTTGACCTAACAAGCTTATTAAGGTAACTTGACTAAGTTCTGGATTTTGTTTTCTCCTCTCAACTTTATCTGTATGCTGTTTGCTATATGTATTGTTTTAATTATATTTTATTACATTTTGGGTCATTTCAAGCTCTTTGTAGAGCTTTAAGCTTTTTATGTAGAGCTAAGAACCCTCTAGTGAATAAAACACCTTCAAGATTTTTATTACCACCTTCAAGCGTATTTCTCTTATATGTTAAATTAAAATTCCTTGATGAGCCCACAGGATATTAAAGATGCTGTATTGCCTTTTGTATGGGCTGAACTTGACTTCTCTAAAGACAGTTGTGGGTAATTCTCTGTCCTCTGAAATTTTTAGGCGAAGTAGCATCTGGCTCCCTGAGGATTGGCGCTGTTAGTGCACCAATTTATAATGCCCATGAGAAAATGAAAGTGCCTGATGTTTTGTTCTATGACAACATTCAGGTAAGATCACTGCTTTACATTCATGGATAAGTCACCACTTATACTGTAGTAGTTCATTCTGATTCAGGTGAAACTGTTTAATTATTTTTATAATTCACTAGATGCAAATTCAGATGATGCAAAATGAAGTGTTGAAATATCTTCCATTAATGATTATAATATTGGAAGAGCTGCTGCCATGAGTAGAGTATAATAAATTTTTGGTCCAGGCACTGTTGAAAGTTCCTGATATACATTAACTCATTTGATTCTCCCACCTCATCCTCCTGTAGAGGTCGGAGTAGGAGATACAGAAAGATAAGTAACTTGTGTCCAAGTAGAAATAATACGTATCCTCTCTTTTGCTTTCCTGTTGGTTAAATCATTTTAGTTTAAAGAAGGATGTGTCTTATGCATTCTTTTTTTAAAAAAATACTCACCTGAGGATATGTTTTATTGATTTTTAGAGAGAGAGGGAAAGAGAGAGAGAGAAACATTGATGTAAGAGAGAAACATCAATCGGTAGCCTCCTGTATGCTCCCTGACCAGGGATTCAACCCAGAACCTAGGTATGTGCACTGACCGGGAGTTGAACACACAATCTTTATGGTGTATGGACAATGCTCCAGCCAACTGAGCCAGCCGACTAGAGCTGTCCTATGCGTTCTTTCCTTCATATTCCTTTCTTTTTTTTGAAAATTTCTAGTATTTTTCCTTCTTTTTTTTTAAGGGGTGAGAGTAATTTCCCACTTGTAAACTAACCTATAATTATGGACCTTCTAAGACACAAGAAATAAGTGTGTACACAGAGTGCTTTATTGTAGATGTTCACTGTAATAAGATTTTTTTCCAGAGAAAATCACTCATATAAAAAGTTGTTTTTCTTTTCCAGATTTTCTGTCAAGTGGCTATATACTTATTTTATAATAAAACACATACTAAAGTTTTTCTGTAATATTTGGTCACTAATCTGTATATAAATAACCTTACGTTTACAAATTATGTTGGAAAAATTTCTACCTACTGTTTTCACTATATTAAGGGTTTAGGGATACTAAAGTAAAATTTCTTTTATCTGCCATTTTCCAATTCTTTTTGTTGCTCAGTGAGTATCATAATTTATATCCCTGTATTATATTAACAACATAGAAAGTATCTAGGCAAATTCTTCTTTCTCAATTAAAATATTAATGAAGTATTTTGAAATCTGTCAAAACTTTAATTATTATCATCTATGGCATAGTAAAAGACATAACCCAATTTGCTTTTCATTCATTTTATAGCCAATTAATATGTATTTAATTTAATTTATTTATTTTAAAATATATTTTTATTGATTTCAGAGAGAGGAAGGGAGAGGGAGAGAGAGAGAGAAACATCAGTGATGAGTCATTGATCAGCTGCCTCCTGCACGCCCCCCACTGGGGATCAAGCCCACAACCTGGGCATGTGCCCTGACGGAATCAAACCACAATCTCCTGGATCATAGGTCGATGCCCTACTGCTGAGGCACACTGTCTGGGCTATATATTTTATTTTGTTCCAGAGCATTAATGTTCTTATATAAGCAGTAGACAAATGAACAGAAAATAAAGTTACTCATAAGACACAGGAAGAAAAAAAATCTTGCCTATCAATAAAGACAAAAACATAAGGGAAATATACTGTTTTGAAGTTTTGATGATATCAAACTCTGTCCATGTAGTAGAAAGGAATAAAGAAAAGAGAATTAGGAAACTTTGATATGCGTGAAAATTTGAAACACTCCATGGCAGCAAATGCTGAAAAGACTTGCCAGCATGTAAGAATGCAGGAGATTCAGTAGCAGGGAGGGCCGTGTGCCCTTGAACACAGTGTCTGTTGCCATGGTGCTTGTGACATAGACATTGAGATCCTCAGGGCTGCTGTGAACTTTACACAGTGGCCCTGAGGGACTTTCTGTAGCCTATCTCCAAACATATCTTCTCTTCATAAAGCATTACGAATTAACCATTAATGAAAATTTCTAGCTGTACCAATTCTAGGGTCAGTGGCTTGATTAAATTTGCTTTTGTTCCATACATTGCTGTTTCCTTTTATGCCACACTCCATCTTTGAAGCAGTAGTCTTCAGTGCCTCTTGAATATTTAGGTGCTTCTATACCCTCTTGTTCTATGCCCTGTGGTCCTCTTGCCACACTGTGTCAAAACTGATTTTTTAAATGTGCTTTCCCACACTGGTAATGCAGAGTGTTGTGTTTTCTTTATTTTGTATCTCCAGCAAATAGCATAGTGCTTGGCATATACTGACTGCTGAATAAATAAATATCTGTTGAGTGAATTAATGAAAGGCTGAATAAGATTTTAAGGGTTCATAATCAGGAGAATTTTTCATTAAATCTGTGATTGAGGAATATTACACTTGCAGCAGTAAGGAGGAGAAATTGGAAGAAAGAGAGTTGAATAGCTTTTGAATAAGCTTAATGAACTTTAGGTCTGAAAAATTGAAAAAATATCTCCCATGTGTCAAGCCTTGTCATAGGTATTAGGATACTGAAATTAATATAGACACGCGCACACATGTACACACACACACTCCAGAGCTCAGATTTCCTGGGTCTATCAAGGGAGAGAAAGATATTTAAGTACACATAGTTACTCTACAGTGTGATGGAAGTACACACAGGTTACCGTGGTAGCATTGATGAGAGGATGGTCCCAGATTGGAATGATCATGGAAAATGAGTTAACCAGGCACAGCTGAATCTCTCAGGCAGCGAGGCTAGCATTTGCAGAGACTTGGCTATGTGAGAGAATAGCTAATTTAAGGAGCTACATAAAGTTGCAAATGGAAGAGTGACAAGAGATGAGGCTGATGACTTAGGAAAGGGTTACATGTTCTGGACCTTGCTAATTAAGGAATTTGGATTCTGTTCAGAAGAGTTGAGAAAGCCATTGAAAGTTTTTAAGCACCTTTCCACATTGCATTTACTCTTTGAAGTTGTCTATGAGTTGGAACCAAGGCAGGGAGAGACTGGTTAGGAGGCTGTTGTAATAGTCCAAGAGAAAGTTATGAAGGCTCTGGACAAAGGCAGTGAAGGCAGTGCCCGTGGGGATAGAGCAGAAGGGATAGATTGCAGGGTTATTTAGGAGATGGTTAGAGTCAGTAGAACTTTGTGTTAGATGAAAGACAAAGATTCTTCCTCCAGAAGCACATAGTCTGGTTTAACAGTTAAAAAAAAAGAACAAAGAGAAAACTATTCTAAATTGTGCCCATGACTGGAACATAAAGTAGGAGGAGAGTGGTAGGAGATGAGACTGAGACTAAATCAGTAAGTTAAGGAGTGACTTTGTTACTAAGGTATTAGGAGTCATTGTAGGAATTTTGAAGAGAGAAGTGACATGATTTTGAACAAGGTGACAGTACAGGCATACCTTGAAGATATTGCAAGTTTGGCTCCAGACCACTGCAATAAAGTGAGTATACCAGTAAAGCAAGTAGTGATCTTTTTGCTGGTAGAGGGTTTTACCTTTAATATATAAACAGAATCTGTGAAGTGTAGTAAAGTGAAATGCAATAAAATGAGGTATGCTTGTACTGCAGAGAGCATGTTGGCTCAAGGAAAGACTAAAGTTAGGGAAGCCAAATTGGCTTATAAAAATCTAGGTCAGAGATCATAAAACCTGAATGAAACTGTGGGGATGAAAAGGAAAGGATAGGTACAGTTCACTTTCTGGTGGCTCAGTAGCTGAGACTTGGTGTTTAGTTGGCTCTTGATAAGGGAAGAGGAATGTGGGCAAGCAGATGATGATGAAAGGGGTTTGGCCAGGTGGTAGAACATGATACTGTTAATCAGGATAAAAGATCCAGGATAAAGAATGACTTTGAAGAAAGTAATGAGTCAAGTTTTGGATATGTTGAGTTTGAGGAGAGTGGGAAATAACCACGTAGTTCGATAGTTACTCAGAAGTACAGGGCTGGAGTTGAAAAAAGTCTGGCTGTTGAAGATCAGCGTTGTTGGTAGCTGAAGTCATGGAAAGGATGCAAGAGGAGTTAGGGAGAGTAGGGTCAGAAGGAGGTCTTCAGTTACTGACGTGCGGCTCCCCAACTCTGCACGCAGCCCTCCCTCAGTCCTCAAGTGGGTGCCCAGTTAAAACAGACACAATCTGCTCTGCCCTCTACTGTGACCCCCACCCCCAGGAAAGCATGTAAAAAGATGGAAAGAGAACTAATGAAGGAGCATAGGGAAAATTTAAGGAGTTACTACAACAAGAAGATCCAATTCAGAGAGGAATTGTCAGATCGGTAGGAAGTAGTCTGGAGAGGCAGAGAACTGGGAGACTTTTAAGAACTTGCCTGTGGTACTAAGTGGGCCAAGAGGTTAAGCGAAGAATTACACAGGCAGTGACCTAAGCCTTAGCTAATATTTGTTGATTGAATAATCTAGTTAGATGTAATGAAGGTGTGAAGTAGGAGGACGTGAGAAAAAGATGACTATAGATATAGTTTGGGTTATTTTTCATTTACTTTACATTGTTTTTTTACCTGGCTATACTGGTGCTCGTTCCAATTTTCCACCTATTTATGCACATTAACCTGTTTATTTCTGGGAGAATTTAATGTTATCTGGGAATTGGCATTGAATTTTCATCTTAGTTAGAAGGAAGAGGTCTCCAGTCCACATTGTTACCAGAATCGAGATTAAAAGAGTGTTCTGGGACTCCTTTGGAATTAGGGTAACCATATACCTTAAAGTCCCTGTTTACATTTGTTGTCCCAGCATAAATATCGATAATGTCTCCTTTTATTCTTAAAAGTGTTCCAGAAGGGACAATAAATTGGTATCACCTTACTCCAAGCCTTGTTAAAATTCTAGCTCCATGGTCTATTTGAAAGCATTTAAAAAAATAAAAACCTCCAAGATAAACATAAGGAATACTCATGTGTTCTTGAAGGAGGGGAAAAACTTTTTCAGTTTTTCTCTCAAAGAAAGAAACTCTGAAAGAAAACATTGCTTAATTTGACAAGTAAAAGGAAAATATTCTAGATATCAAAAAAATCCATAAACCAAGCTGGGAAAAGAAAAGCAAGTGACAAACTAGAAAAATACCAGCAGCATGTATTAGATACAAAATGAGGAGCCAATTTAAGCAAAGTAGAGAAACTTAATCAGATTTTAATACTGAGGCAATCAGGTTCCTCTCTCATCCATTCCATGGCTTCATGTACCAACTCTACTCTGCCCTTTTTACAAGTAGGGAGCTTCAGAAACTTCAATACTTATGAGGCCAGTATTGTTTTGATACAGAAAACCAGGAGAAAGTAATATGGGCATTAATTGTTGTGGGATGTAGTTCTCCCCTGAACCCCCACCCCCTGAGCCTCTGTGACCTACTAATAGTTGTCTTATTTTTCAAGATACAAAAGAGCCATGTAATTTCTTTTGTGGCTATTGTGAGCAACTTTAATCTTGTTCTTTTATTATTTTGTGTCATAATTTGAATTAAAAATGTGGAGGGTAAATAATGTATTTTTAATTCTAAAACTATACATCCTTTTGAAGGTAATGGTTAAGAATAAATCAGTGTAAAATGTTCCATGGAAATCAGCAATTATTTTAGGAAATTTTTGTATATTTACATTATCAAGTGTTAATTTTAATATTATATTAAATTATAAGCCAACTCTGCATTGTTCGATAGCTGAAAAACATTTGAAATATTGGTAAATGGCTTAGTTTGGGTCAGGTATACTATTTCAGGTTTTCAGTATCAGTGACCTAATCGGTTATATAACTCACTTATAACCACAGCATTAATTTTTGTTTTTCTAAAAAATTAAATTGTTTAAGTATTATCTATTATGATAGATGTTTTCCTTTCCATTGAAGACATCAGTATAGTTAACTTTCTTGTATCACCTTGATTATGCAAAACAATTAACCTAGTTTCTTTTCTCCAGCACATGATAGTGATGGAAGATATGCTCAAAGACTTCCTTCTCGGAGAACATCTATTATTGGTTGGTAACCAGGTGAGTTATGTCTAGGAATCAGAAGATCCTAAGAGAAATTGACTAAATTTTTTATTTTGGAAATTTGCAACTGTTTAGTGAAGGAAACAAGCAAATTAGATAGAATCTAGGGGGTGTCCACTTAATAGTTAAGTGGCCTGTTCAACTAGATATGATAACATGCTGAGAGGATCAGAGACTGGCAGCATTATTACTAGGAAAGAATAATGTAATACTAATCATTTTTAAATTTCTAGTAATAATTAAGTGCTAATTAGTATTTAGCTAATTAAATGAGATCTGACTTTGTGCATGCTTACATGTATCAGGTCAGGGAGTGGAAATTGGACCAAAGTGACTGGTTAAAATCTAAATGGAACTTTTTTAGTACTTCAGCCAATTTCAGTTCCTTTCAAACTTGTTTTCAAAAGCTCATATGGGTGTTAAGACCTCAGCAAAATTATAGACCTTTTCCCCCCAGCTTTATTGAGGTATAATTGACAAAATTACAATATTTTTAAAGTGTACAATGTGATGATTTGGTTATATATACATTTATAATAATTACACATTATTATATATTGTGAGAGGATTCCTCCCATCTAGTTAATTAACACATCCATTACCTCACCTATTTCCTTTTTTTTTTGTTTTTTTGGTGAGAACATTTAAGTTTTATGCAGTACAGAGTTATCAATTATAGTCACCATGTTAACCATTAGATCCTCAAACCCTATTCATATTATAGGTGAAGGTTTGTACCTTCTTACCAACTTCTCCCTATTTTCCCACACCCTCTATCCCCCTAAAAACCACTTTTCTACTCTCTGTTTCTAAGAGTTGGACTTTATTTATTTACTTAGATTCCACATACAAATATTTGTCTTTCTCTGCCTGGCTAATTTCACATGCATAATGCCCTTTGGGCTCATTATGGTTAGACCCTTGACTACTCCCGTTTGGCAAGCCTCAGGGAAGGTAAAGCCACCTGTGGTGTTTGCTGGCAGATTCGTAGGAAGAACCCACAGAGATGTGCTTTGCTAAGGATGGGTGTGGAGTTATGTGTTCTCTTTTCCTGCCTTTCTCCATCCAGATTTCTTTTCCCGGAATGTGTACTTTTGCAGTCATAGTAACTCAGGTCCTTCACCAACAGCTTTGAAAACATTCTCTGCTTTATTTGTCAGCGCCTCTCTTTATATTTTACGCACCTTCTCACCTTCACTCTTATTTCCATCTTGTGAAACAAAACAAAAAGAAAAAGACAGGGAAGTGAAGGTGCAGCTGATAGGCAGGTTGAGGGCTGTTGACTCTCAACTCTCATGTGGTAGTGCCACTTGTGTTTTCACTGAAATGCAAAGTGATAACCCCCTGGGAGAATGCCTATTTTAATCACATGATTTATTTTGAAAATAAGTGAACCATTTGTAGCAGTTGATCTGGCTCCTTTCCTTTTCTTAGTCTTTCTAAAACATTATATGATGGTTACTCAAAAAAACAAACAAACCAAAAAACAACAACGACACAATTAGAAGTGAAGCTTTGGGGATTAAATATTAACAGAGAAGCCAGAAGTGGGTTATTATAATTATACAATAAAGTGTTAATGAGTGTTCTCTTAATAGAAACTGTCTATAGATAGATATAGCCTACCCAGCCTTCTGACTGCAAAATAGAAACTGGCTGAAGTCCATGAACAAAACTTTTCAACAGTTGAAGTTGTAAATTTAGAGATGTTTTGAAAGATTGCTCTGTTTAACAGTGGCAATTTTTTACAATGAGGAAATTAAAAAGACTAGGAAAGTGTGTTGATTTTGAGAAAGCTCAAGACTTACCATCTTTGGTAAGCCTAATATCACTTTTTCTTTCCATAAAATTCTCTTTTCTGTCAAGATTAGACAAGATTTCATAACTATTTTATTGGGAAGATAAAAACAGTTCCATAAACATCACTTATGGTAAAATGAAGTGGCCCTCATCTTCTTTCGGTGAAATAAAAGTGACTTTTTGGTAGTTTTATAACTTTATTCGGCAATCAGCAGTAGTTCTCATCCACATTAACTGTAGATTTTTTAAAGCGGTGACAGGTATGTAGGTGACCAACATATAGAGCTTATTTGGTGAATCTTCATCCTCATAAGATTTCTGGACAACCGCACCCAAATATAGTATGGGTCATTCCTTATTCCTTTGGCCCAGACAGCTTTGTTGAGCCTGGTGTCACTGTGCCCATCTGGAGTTCCCCTCTCCTTCATGGCAAATTTCCTGATTTCTTTAAGTGGCCTAGGGGCACGCTTCTTGAAGCCCATGGCATGGGTAGGCTTGTGAATGTTGGTGGTGTATTCTGTGGTGACTACCTTGTGGATGGCAGAACCACCCTTCTTGCCACCCTTCTTTGTGGGAGCCATTATGCTGGGCCCAAGTTGGAATGAAAGTAAAATTAATTTTTTTCTCCTTCTAATTTTCTACGTGGGATTTTAGGGCACAGTAAGTACATCTACTTTCCAGTAAGAGAGGCAGAATTGCTACGTGTCAGCCAAAGGGGTACGGTGCCTGGAAATTACATGTTTGATGGTTTCTTAGTATATAATGCTGCATATTGTGGAACCACTTTTGTGTGCTGTTACATGCAGTATCTTCCACTTACTGTAATTATAACATGGCATGTACCCTTTCATGCAATTAGAAGTCTCATACTGGCTTTTTGAAAAAAATCATAGCATGACTTTCTATCTATTTTAACTTTACTGAGAGGGTAAAAAGAGATATGCCTATTCATTTTACAGTCAGTGGTACTTTCTCTGTCCCAGCTCTGCTCAAGAATAACCTTCCTTCCTTCCTATATCTTAGTTTCTTTTGATTTGTAGAGCTATATTCTATTTGATATACAAAATACTTATTGTGAATATTTGGGTTATAGAATCAGCCTATAGCAGCATTTTTTTGTTGTTGTTTAAAAACTTTGTAAGAATAACTTGTTTTTGTGTAGGAATACTTGAATTTGGAGAGGCAGTTGCATTTTATCAGATATTTAAAGGAAAAATATTTTATCAATGTAGTGCTCAGGTACCCCTTACAAAATAATTATTTTTAAAATATGCAGTATTTTGTTTTAAGAAATGAAAATTTAATAATCTTCAGATAATGATTTTTCTGGTTTCTGATGTTAGGCAGAATTGCAAGACAAGTCATCAAAATGTAATTTATAGTTAATGAGGCACAGTTAATAATTCACAGTCACTTCTACATTGAATATAGTCCAATTGTTTGTCAGGTTTATAAACTTCTTAAACATTTTAGAACCAGCATTTATATCATTTTACCAAATAATAGCTGTCAGTGAAATTTTTATATGTAAGCTCTTCTTGTAGTCCACAGACCATATATTTTGCTCTTACCAGAATTCTAATACACTGTACGGCCCTTATCAGGTGAGAAGTTAGCTCTGGCTGGTTTTCATACAGGATGCCTTCTCTCTCTCTGACTGTTATGTGTGCTTCATGTTTTTATAATACTAATACTTTAGGGACTCTTTTCAGTCCATGGTAATTTCTGATCAGCAGTGAGATAAATGTTAGAAAGCATCTCTTAATTTTAATTTTCTACTGAAAGTTGAAAGTGGCTCTGCCTTTCCTATCAGATAAAATCTCTTTCTTAGGGAGACATTCAGAATGACCTATGATCTGGCTGCAAACTACTTTTATAGTTCCAGTTCTTCCAAATTAGAGTATTTTATGCCCCCTTGGTATACCATGCCCTTTTGCTCCCCCAGCCATTTTTCAGTGTTTACTTCATACAGTGCTCCTTCCCCTCATCTTTGCCTATGAAAATCCTGCCAGTTTTCAAGAGCTCAGATGATTTTTTCTCTCTGAAGGTTTTTATAGTCTTCTCCAAATAGAAATAATACTGTCTTCCTCTGAACTTTTACAATATTTTATCACTATTTTGATTTAATTTTCTTTTAAAATTGTTCTCATAAGTTTTTTATTCTGTAATTGAATTATAAGTTCTTATGAGCAAGGATTAAAAATGGTAATATTTGTATGTTTTACAATTTTCAATGTACTTTTTTGATCACCTCATTTAGTTCTACAACCCTTTGAGATAAATATTTTTTTTTTATTTTCCACATTTTGCAAATAAGCAGACTAAAGTTCAAATAGGTTTAAATATTTGCTCAAGATCACATGGCTAGTTAATGACAGAGTTAGTACTTAGACCTTAAAAGTTCATGCTTTTGTTTTTCATCAGATCATGCTAATTCTTACACTAGTAATAACAACAGTGAGAACAATAACAGTACTAATATTTAATGGCTAACTTATGTTAAGTGCTTTACATACAGAGTACAGGGCATTTAATTTTTTTTATTATGAAAATTTTTAAATACTACAAAATTTTGAGTACAACTCTCTTGTACTCATCACAAAAATTATCAACATTTTATACATCTTGTTTTATCTGTTCCCCCAACACTTTTTAAATATGTCATCTTGCCCGGCCGGGTGTGGCTCAGCGGTTGAGCGTTGACCTAGGATCCAGGCGATCAGGGTTCGATTCCTGGTCAGGGCACATGCCCGGATTGCGGGCTCGATCAATGACTCTCTCATCATTGATGTTTCTATCTCTCTCTCCCCCTCTCCTTTCCTCTCTCTGAAATCAATAAAGATATATATTAAATATGTCATCTTCTAATACATCTTTACATAATGTATTTTTGTTATAAATATCTCAGAATTTCCCTCTAATATAACTATTCTCTTATATAACTAATATAATTAAAATGTAACTAATATATTTCTCTCTAATAATAATTCTATTATTACACCTAACAATCAACATCCAAACAAAACTTGATAACTACATTTAATTAATGTCCCTCCCAAGTCCCTTTGAAAGAGATGAGATATACTCTCCTGGTCTCTTTATCCAGAGAGGCATTGGCCAATTTTTAAGAGTACAAACATTTTATTCAGAATTATACCAATATTGATAAACTTCAGATGAGGAAATATGTTCTAGAG